TTTGCGGCTAAGAAGGAGTGAAAATGATCAGTAACATTTAGTTTACTGGCTCAGTTACGCTGTAATCAGAGTGATATGCTTTACACACTCAGGTCGAGCGTGGTTCTATTATCAAAGGTGATCATATGAAAATTCCCTACTAGTTGACGGCAAATCTTTGAAAAGCCTTGAAGAGTGAAATTTCTTAGGACAGAAATTCCTTACGACTGAGTTGTCATTGAAGGATATCGAACTAGGACTTAAAAGTCCTATGGAAAGCTTTCCTTTCATTAATCTGCAATCAGTAGCTGATTGAGAATATACTTGTTTGAGAAAAGAACGCATTAAATTTTAAGTACGGAACTGGGCTTTCCGCAGTGTATGCAAAATGACACTGATCTATTTGGAACCAGATTGAAAGTGTGCCATGGTTAAGTTCTAAGAAGAACATAACAGTCTGTTTAGCTGTGACTGCAAGATCGGTTTTGCAACCAAAATATTGGATCTTTCATCAGTTGCTTAGGTATAGCTGTTAACAAGGGCTCACCAAGAGAGCTGGTGTCGTAAAACTAAACTTTAGTCTATTCTTTTCATGTAGCATCCAGAATAAGCTAGCGATTGGTTTTTAAACCAAGAAGCTGATTCGGTAATTTATCTGGCCTGTGTTTTGAGGGGACAACTTGATCCTGTTTCAGTTTCAAAGATGAACATAAAAGCGAGCAAGACTTCAAAATAAATTATAACATGTACAGATACTGAAATGCAGTTTCAGTGGGCTATACACAAAATTATTCAATAGTCCTGAGGACTATAACACTTCATACAATACATGTAGTCGCACTAGAAAATTATACAAAAATTAACAATATAAAGAAAAATGTTAACAGAACTCCAATAGGCAATAGACGTCATGAAAAGAACAAATTTAACTGTCATTTTTACTAATATTAGCACATCAAAGTCAACATACTACTTGTTTTATGATTAAATTTCACTCAAAAACACACAACTATAATTCCATTTTCAGTTTTGTTACAAATTTTGGCTTCACCAGCTAAAAAATAGGAAAAATAGGAGGTTTTAGTATAAAAATTGGAGAAAATAGGAATAGACTCAAAAAATAGGAAAAAATAGGAACTGGACACCCTGCATCTGCATCCATGGCTATTTTTCTTAAGTAGACAGAAAGCGAATCTTCTACGCAACTATAAACTAAAAAAAAACATTGAAGTTTGGCATTGGTTCGGCAAATGACCGTGTCTTGCATAAATTAAAATTTTATGTGTCTGTCCTGTTATTGATAATTAACAACTGCATCGCTAAAATGGAGGTTGGGTGCCTGAAGTATCCAGGGGCTTCCACTATTGGCAGCCAGCCCCTAGATTGAAATAATGCCCCCATGACTGGCACAACAGCGCAACCCAGCCATGAGCCCCCACACCAACGGAAAGGAACAGGCACCCATCACACTGAAAAAGGAGACATCAGTGGAGGAAAACCCAACAAGCCTAGGGGGAGGGCGGGAGGGGAAGAAAATGGCCGCCAGAACCCAGCACGAAGGTAAAACTGAACGTGCCAAAGAATCACATGATCGATGTAGCCAGCCACCAGGCATGCGCATGCCAAAGACCGCTGACCTAGGCACCCAGGCGCTCTTAGTTGTTAACTCCTTTAAATTGCATTTAAACGCTTAACAACTGCATCGCTAAAATGGAGGTTGGGTGCCTGAAGTATCCAGGGGCTTCCACTGTTGGCAGCCAGCCCCTAGATTGAAATAATGCCCCCATGACTGGCACAACAGCGCAACCCAGCCATGAGCCCCCACACCAAGCCGAAGGGACCTTCGAGCCATGGCGCTAAGGCTTGGAGAAGGGGCTCATGGCTGGGAGACGCCCGAGCCCCGAACGGCCAAACCCGAAGGCACTTATACGTAGGTGTACGCTACCTCTTCTGATAAGGTACCTGTTACTGACGTAGCCTCCCAGAAACTTCCAAAACTGAATCCGCTGGGGTTCTAACGTAAAGTTGATATGCATCACTGGACCACCTGCCCATGGTCTTGATCAGGTGATCTGGAATGCTGCATTGCGTGGCCGTGGTGGCAGCCCCAATGCGAAAGCTGTGGCCTGAAAACTGCCCAGGGATTCCCGCTCCCTGTAACACAGACTGGACGAAGGAAGACAGACGAGAACGAGTTAAAGGCTGACCATGGGTGTCGATGAAAAGGGGACCAGACAAGGGCCCTCGCCGATGTAAATATGCCAGGATGGCCGAAATTGGACAGAGAGGAGCCTGACCACGCCCCAGGTATATAACACATCCCGGGCGAAATGGGTCGGTTTTAGAACTTTTGATGCGCACCCGCAGGCTGGAAGGATTAACCTCTGCATCTACTTGCAAATCCTGAACGGTTAAATGGATGGATGGGTCAAAGGCGCAGTTGACCGTAAACTCCCCTGCCCGTAGGAATCCAAAGAAACCTAGGCAACAGGCAGCCCACAGCATGATGTGCTCTGAGTTGTGGGCATCCAAGGAACGCTGGATAATTCGCATGAGGTCAGCTGTCACTGGCTGGCGTTGTGGGAGAGATGAGCCTTGATGGGGCTTAATGCCCCGGATAAGACGCTGAAGTTGGAGGCAGTTCACCAAGGGATCGGGAAACCCTGATCGATGTGCAAGGACCGTATCGCCGAGAGATAAACCTTAATCGAAGAGTGATGTAAACGATCCGCTAGGTGGGAACAAAAATGCAGCAAGGTTTGTTCACTAGTGGGCAGCAACGAACCATTTGAACTGACATAGCCATCTAACGTAGAGAAATCGATGAACTGACGTTGTGCTGAACGATACACCCGTCGGGTTGAAGGGGCCAGACCGTTGGAGAGATAAAATTGGCACTTTTGGTCTAAACTACAGGCAGCTGGTCCAAGACCAAAGGAGGTACTGGCGTTGCTGTGGGAGACGCATAAGGAGCTAGCTGATGGAACCGCTGAAGTTCAAAACGAGAAATGGCGTCAGCTATGGCATGTGATTTTCCAGGAATGTGACGAGCAGTAAACACAAAGGAGTGCCGGGCCGCCAACAGGGAGAGGTGACGAAGCAGCACCATCAAGTTCGAATCTCGTGAGGTACCGGACCGCAAAACCTCGACCACAGCTGTATTGTCAGAACAGAATTCCACCCGCTTTGCAGACCACTGATGACCCCACAGGGAAGCTGCCAGAACGATCGGAAAAAGTTCTTTGTAGGCAATGGATAAGGGCAGCCGTAACGGAGACCATCTCTCCACGAACCAGTCTCTACCTAAAATAGCCCCGTATCCAACAGAGCCAGCAGCGTCAGAGGAGACATGGAGATCGGGAATGGGAGCCCAACGAGGAGACAACAGAAAACTGTACCCATTCCAGGACTGGAAGAATTCGAGCCACCACGACAAATCCAAACGAAATTCACTATTAAGCCTTATAGGATGGTCATCTCTACGAAAAGCTGAGAGCAGATTGATCATGCGGCAGAGGAAGGTGCGACCAGAAGGGACGACTTTGCATGCATGTTGAAGCTTGCTAATTAAAGGCTCCAGCTCCTTCCGTGTGCAATGGCGTTTAAGTGACCAGGTGACCAGGAGTGTGTGGATACGATCAAATTTTTCTTGCGGGAGGCGCGCCTGCAATAGGAGAGAGTCGAGTTCTATACCTAGAACAGTCAGGAGAGTGGAAGGGCCCTCCAACTTGTCGGGCTGAAGGGGAATCCCCCAATCCTGAAATTGCTGGATACAGGTGTCTAAGTTCGGTTGGCACGTCTGAGAATTAGGAGGACCCAAGGTGTGAAAATCGTCCAGATAGTGAAGGAGAAAGCTCACGTCATACCGTGTTTTGAGCACCCATTCTACCAGGTCTGCGACTGAAGAGAAAATGTAAGGCGCTGAACTCAAACCAAAAGGTAAGGCCATGTCCACAAAGTAATTGCCTTGCCACTGCATGCCGAGGAGATAACGATCATTAGGGTGGATGGGAATGTGATAGGCACTTTCCACATCAAACTTTTCAAGTAAGGTGCCCCGACCGAGCGACATGATCCCATCAATAATATCGTCTACTTTCATATATTGAACCGTGAAAGGGTCTTTTCTAATGCCGTCATTCACGCTGTGACCATCGGGACTAGAGAGATCCAGAATCAAGCGCCATTTGCCTGGCTGGTGTTTTTTGGGGATGACTCCAAAACGGCTGATGTGAAGGTGAAGTAACGGAGGGGAAGAGAAGGGGCCAGCAACGCGACCCTTAGCTAACTCCGTGTGAAGGTAGTCGTCAATAACCGAGGGCTGAAGACTGGCAGAGGGCATATTCTGTGTGGCTGATTTTAAGGAGACCGAAGCAGGGTTGAAACCAACACGAAACCCATTCTGAAGACCATCCAAGACATAGTTTACAAAAGACTGATCTGGATGTGTGAGCACCTCCTGGCGTAATTTGTCCACTCTTATGGGGGAAACTTTATAGGGAGGAAGCAGCGGCTGATGCAACGAGGGAGCCGATGCAGACGGGCAGGAATCATTGAAAGCACGAAAAATTCGGGGCAGTCCAATCTTCTGCTGGGAATAAACACCAATGAACGCAAACGTGGAACGAGGAACAGTCAACAAACTATTAACACTATTTACGCAAGAGGGGGCTGCCACCTGCAAGGCAACCTTGTTGTTAACGCCGACGGCGTTTTCCCCTGAATGGAGTGAGGGATCGGGAACGCTGAGACCCCTTGTAGGCTCGAAAAGGGCAGTTGGTAAGGGGGTGTTGACCATCGCATCGTTCGCAAACATGACGATAGCGACATTGACCCAGAGACCAGCGACAGGCACCATCATTCCAAGATCGACAATACTGAATGGGGTCAAAGGAACACTTGGGTGGGACGTTCGATGAGGCTGAGGTATGGGGTAGGGAAGTCGAGTGAGGTGCTGATTGACCAGTAATGGTGCTGGACGCACGAGTGTGGAAGTTGTAAAGATCCAGGTTCATCTTAGATCAATCTGCTAGAAGAGAGGCTGCAGCATCCTTCCTGAATGCCGCGTCGTAGTTCAACCAAGCTGGTCCAGGAAACTGAGAAGCCGTCTGGAGGATCAATAACTTATACTGGGTAGTATCCTGCCAGCGAGAAGGGTAAGTACTGCAGAAGATCCACTGGTAAATGGTAAAGGCCTGAATCCATGTGAGAATATCGGTTATCTCTACCACCATTTTTTTGCCACGGGCAACAAGTAGTTTACCATCCAAATAAGTATGAGGCTCGGCCTCTTGAGGAGGTATGTTCTCGGCTAGAAGATCCGCAAGCTCAACGAAGGCGCCACTGGTTATTTTGGCCACCAGTTTCCCTGGAATTGGCGCGTAACCGGGGCCAACTACAAACGCTTTTCCGACCGAAGGCGCCTAGGTCGGGCTGCTGGTCGACGGTACCAATGAATAATCGAACAAGGATGGTGCGACAACGCCGGGACGGGCGGCTGAGAAGCACGAGGAACCACGGGAATACCAACAGACGAGTAAGTAGAAAGAAATGAGGGCACAGTCACGCTATCTGCTAAAGACGATGAACGACACGCAGTCGAAGTCGATGTATAAGTCGACGGCACGCTGGTCGCGAAGGAGGCCGCGCTGGAATTGCCTGACGTACCGCTGGTAGAATTTGGCGCTCTGTTCTCCCGAAAGGCCGCCAACATCTGAGGTAGCGACTGTTGAAAAGCCTGGGAGATGGCCTGAGTCAGAGTCTCCGCTGAGATTGAGACCGAAGAGGGCGATGAGGTAAAGGAGGACGAAGAAGTGGAATTTGATGTGGTTGACGGAGCGGATTCATCCCTCGGTGACGACGCGGGACCGGACGGCTCAAGCGAAGCCGAGATGCTGTTCACCGTGTTGCGAGGCATGTGGACCAAACCTTCGAAGAAACAGACGGAAAAACCAAAGAAACGTTCGCGAAATCGACGACAACGGTGACGAACCGCTCGAAGAGAAGAAAAAACACCGAGGAAAACGAAGAAAATGGCCGCCAGAACCCAGCACGAAGGTAAAACTGAACGCGCCAAAGAATCACATGATCGATGTAGCCAGCCACCGGGCATGCGCATGCCAAAGACCGCTGACCTAGGCACCCAGCCGCTCTTAGTTGTTAACTCCTTTAAATTGCATTTACAGCGGTGATCGTATTGGCGTGAACACCTAAAATATGTCTGGAATGTTTATTGTGATGTAACCAATCACAGACGAGATCATCACACCACAGAAACCACAGGCAACAAACGGTTTCCTATCTGTCACGGAACAAATTATTTTCATTTTGTTTTAACATTCAGTCTTTTTACAAGTAAACAATTGCTTTTCCTTCCTATTTGTTTACAGTATTTGCTATAATAGCGAAGAATACAGGTTTGAGCGATTTTGAAATAAATTACAAAGCCGATGTGCCGGGCCTACGCACGCGACGGTTTGGCGCGCGAGTTTTCAAACTTTTTGTAATGATCGAAATCGGTAGTTACGCCTGATTGTAGGTAGTAGATAGTAGTTCGAAGGTTCAATTGTTAGTTCACACAAATCGAATTCCCTTGTTCTACAAAAAAATATTAGCAAGGATTGTGCTATCAGAAATGAAAACATCACGATTGTTCATTTTTTATTGTCTTCATGTGATATGTCGTTACATGGAAAGCTGGTCGCCGTCGCGTCGCGTTGGCTTTTAAAACTTTTCTGTCTAAAATCGAACGATGTACTAGATGCGGTCCTCAGTACTGATCTTGGGGAACAGCGGTGTTTTAAATTCCTAATAAGGCTGTTTGTATCCTTAAACAAAACGAAAATAGTTTGTTCCATGACCGATCGGAAACCGTTCGTTGCCTGTGGTTTCTGTGGTGTGAAGATCTCACCTGTGATTGGTTGCAACACAATAAACATTCCAGACATATTTTAGGTGTTCACGCCAATATAATCACCGCTGTAAATGCATTAAAAATTAGCCAATCAGCGCACGAGAATAAAATGATTCAGTTATTGTAAAAACATCATTTTCTTCCGTTTGTTCAGAAACAAAAACAAAAGGAATCATGATAAAGTTCTTTGTTTCACAAAATCAGCAGAGTGGGTTATTTAAGTTTAACTAGAACCACTACGTGGAACTTACCGGAGCTCAGTGGGACACGGGATTGCATAGATATAGTTTACCTCTCGCACCTCTCCCCCCTCCTCTGTGGAGGCTCATACTTAGTCTGAATTAACTCATGCAGAAGAAAAGCAACAAAAAGCATGAGAAAGGAGGGTGTTGTTGTAAGTTTGTTCAGTGTTATTACAGCTAACGGTCTGTGTTATAGTGTTTTTACACTGTGATGTCAATAAGTGTGATCTGTATAAGGTTTTCATTTGTTTTTTAGTTTGAGTGAAAAAGCAAAAAATACTGACATTTTTGGGTTGAATGATAATGACCAAGTTTGCAAAGAAGTTTGTTACAGAATTATCACAATTTCACATTTTCTAAAGTACGCTGTCGTCAGGTTTATCATTGAGATTTATTAATAACATTTACCCGGTATCTATTTTTTGCGAAAACACTGTGAATTTGAAATGATAACAAACATAAGACATTTTTGAAATAGATCTTTGTGGTCATGGATTGTTGTCTTGCACTGTAAAAAATGTCATCCAGTGTTATATATAGACATAATAAAATGCTTATTTATTGATGATTGAGTATCATTTGTTAATTCATTGCACATTGAAATGGAGGCATTTGATTATAAGGCAGTGGTTGATACATAGTGGCATTCATCAATATGACCCATAGTAATTGTAGTGGAAGTATTTCTTTCCTGAACTGGGTAAACAGTAGTAAATGGTGCAAAGCCTTGATTAGATTCTACTATTTGTATAGTAACATTTACTGCATCTGCAACTGCTTGAATGATAAGTGCATCAGCCCATGTACCTTGAATACACATATTATTCAGATATCTTAGCCATGAATTTTTGGTATTGCTCTCACACTACTGGGAGAAACCCTGTGAAGAGTATGTGAAGTTCATGTGAAAACCATGTGATTTTTTTTTAAGGTTTCACAGGGATTTCACATAGTTTTTCACACATTATTTCACAGAAAAGTGAAATACCATGTGAAAATAATCATGTGAAAACCCTGTGAAATGGGCTCCGCATTTTCACTTGGTATTTCACGGTATGGCATGTGAAATACCATGTGAAAAATATGTGAAATGGGATGTAAAAGGTAGCGTAACATACCTGTGAAAATGGATGTGAAAATTGTTACTATGTGAAATACCATGTGAAATGCAATGTGAAAACCCAGTCGGATGTGTGAAAGATCTAGAGAAACACAGGTCAAATACCATGTGAAATACCACTTTAAATTCAATATATCCTGTGCAAAAAAATCATTATATACTGTACTGTTGCCACATACACCGAATGCAAATATGGCGGACCTCTCGGCCGGCCCGGGTCTAGTTGCGCGAAAGCGAGGCTAGTTAGGCCTCGAGAGTTTTGGTTTGACTGCGCGTCTTAGCGATTGAGTCGATCGATATGGTTTGCATCGAGTTGTTGCATGCCTGAGGGCCACCAAAAAGAAGATTTTACTCTAGCTGGAATAGCCTTTAC